AGACGAGATTCGCGGCAGCCGAACCAAGTCGCTCCTCTATCCCGTCGTGGGGTAGGCGGCGTCGCTCATGACGGTGCACAAACGTCTTCCGCAAAAACAAAAAAAAAAAAAAACACGAAATTCTTACGCGAAGACGATGAGATACAAAACAATGCACGCGGTCAGACTAAAAGTACGAAAGAGGCGACGAAACCGCGGACATAAACATGGTGGTTCGCATTCCATAAGGCAGTGCAAATCAAAATTCCCTGAAAGTTCGCCGTCAGGGTGCGCAATTCTGAATAGGGTATAAGAAGAAGTGATCATTTTTTAAAGGTTTACATAATGAGCTGTAAGACATTAATAAAACGATTAGTGTAGTTGAACGTATCCCTTCATATAGCGGGCAAACCTAGACGCTAATACGCGGTGATTGATACGAACCTATCTAAAGGCGGAATTTCGGTAGTCATTTAGTTTCCTCAAATTGAGTACAGCACATTAATAGACATATCTGAACAAGTAACCCAAACTACCGGTCAGAATAAATTTTATTCGAGAAGATATTAAACTAAAAAGTTTGGTCTGAGAGGCTGAGATACTCTACTGGTAACACTGAGAACATGACGTCAAATATTGTAAGATGGCGGCAGTGCAGCTTGTTCCCGGCGAGATTACAAAATGTTTAACGGTATGAAATAAACGCCGAAAAAACTTGAGAGAGAAAAAAAGCGCATGCTAAATGTGTTTTGACAACTTTATGCTCGAGTTGCAAGTGAAACAACGTGCGAGGTCACCCCCTTGAGATATGGGAAATATTGAATGCTGGCTTTTGCATAAGCTTCATTAGCCGTTTTATCAGTAGCTATTATGAATTTACAGATAACAAGCAACATGCCTAGATGAGAATAGCCTGCCTATTTAAAAATGTGACTAATTTGGGTAGCTGATAACACTGCCGGAGCTTCCATTTAAGTAAAATATTACAAAGCGCTAATGTTGTGCTCGCTTGGCAGCTGTCCTTATAAAGTGCTGTTAAAAACAAAGTTTATTGATTAATTCAATATTCTGCATGTTCGGATTCTAAGCAGCGGAGTTTTTCTTAAAATTTGGGCGCGTGAATTCGTGAATATATTTATCAGCAAAATTCATAGCGTACCGACTTAAAGGGGCGGTGCAATGATTTTAACACTGAACGAATGTGCAGCTTGTATTTTTTATATTGTTTACTTCGGCATAAGTAAGAGAAAAAGTGCCACCATACCCCAAAATACCTCTATTTCGCTGCGTAATCGCAAAATAAAAAACACTTTTTTTCCCAACCTGCGGCCACGTGGTGGCCGCAAATGGAACCTGTGGTGTGACGTCATTCGGAGTGGTTTTTGTAAGTGATAGTGTTAGACAATTGGAGGCTTGATTTAAGGTTAAGTTTAAAAAAATCTTGTTGTTTAGGCATGCAGAAACGCTTCAAAAGCCTAATATTGCCGCTAAAAGGGTATGAATTATTTGTGGCGCCATCTACCGCAAGTCAACAAAACCTGCCGTCGCCAACATCAATCGACGCCCGGGGCGCCTACGGCGGCTACACGAGCAACCCGGACGTTTTGTCTTTCCCTCGCTCGACGGAGTGCGTTGGTCGTGGTCCGTAGTATCATGGTATCGTTATTGTTCATGGTGTCTCGACCTCGACTTCGACTGCCAGGCCGCCCGGCGGGAGAGCGGGAGAGCTGCGAGCCTGGCGAGCCGGCGAGCGCTGGGGAAACGGAAGCCAGAAGAACCCAACCGGAAACCAACGCCACTCCGAATGACGTCACAGGCGAAGCTGGTGCCGCTTCAATGTTGAGTTGAGGGGTGCCGGAGATACCAATTTCTTTTATTTTTTTTTAATGAAAACTAGGGCAAGCAGGAAAGAATAGTTTTCGGTCCTTCGTTTCATATGTGGCCGGGATTGATTCCCGCAATTATTTAGCCAAAGTCCGCAAATTGTTGCACCGCTCCTTTAAGACAATAAATAGCAGAACACGGACAAATCCACCTTGTATTGAATTTTTCTTTGCATTTCGCTTAGGACTTGTTCAGATTGTCCCAAGAATCTGGTTCTTTTGTTATGATAGCAAATTACTTTAGATTGTCAAACGACGCGTACATTTGGCATATTGTTCAGTAAGGAATGACTGCGTATGAACATTCCAATAATTTTTTAATCAAGAAAAAATGCGTTGCACTGAGTGGAAAGAGTATAAAGAAAATGAAAACAAACGTGAAAGTGTGGCACCAATTACTTGAAAATGTAGGGTGCGGAAATCCGATTACGACGTTCGAAACTTGTAATCGTTCCATTTTTTTTTTTTTTTTAATTTGCCTGGAGCGAGATTACAGCTGTGGATGTTTGATGTAGCTAGTTTTCGTTAGCAGCCTAGGTTTTGAAGCTATGCACTAAAACACTTTATTTATAGTTATTATACTCCGAATCAATAAAAAATATCGTGTCTTAATATATGTTTTACGCGTATTGTTTAGCTTTCATTGTCTGGAACATTTTAGGAGCAGCTGACACACAATAGGGGATAATGCAATTATCGGGATTTGTTTATTTTTCTCGCATATTTTTAATGTCAAAGCGAGGGAAATTGCACATCAATGGTTTTGTTACATTAAGTGTTAAGCGTAGGAATGTATAGGCAGTAATTTTAACTATCAATCACGATTAACGCGTTTTCTTCGAATGTTGGTCATCCTAGTTTTAATGCGAAATTAATTACATGTGTAATTACAGTGTAACGATAATCTAATTGATGCTTCCCGGTTTTGATTAATCTGGTAGTTTACGCAATCCTGAGTAGCACTAGAACAAGAAAGCTCAATAATGGTCTGTAATTTTGTTATAAAAATACGAGTCATGGAACGCTTGTCAGTGATCAGACACTACTGTAAGGCGAGGAGCACAGAAAGAAAACAATTGGGGAAAACAAAGACTTTCAGGCGTCGTTGGTTTCGGACAATATTTGTCAATTAGTACTACCTCGCAAACCCTATTTGGTGCGGTAGTTGTTAAGCACGCATAGGCACAAAACCTCAGCTTCAAAGCTTGGGTTTGCAATCAGTTTTGTTTTTCTAGGTGACTATAAAAATAAATTATACAAAATCCTAATATTATTGATTGAGAGAACGTAATTTATTTATTAGAGCATAACGGCTGCTGCATTGCTTCCTGATAACTCTCTCGTGGTTTCGTCGGTAAAGGCTACTTTCCTAATTTAATAATTCTCTGGATATGTTTTTTTCTGGTCCTATGTAACAGAAAGGCAGATGAACACTTCGATTTTTGTAGCGTGAGCTACACTGGCCGAGGTTGAGGAGTTTCGCGTGGCTCGCATAATAAGCCGTGCTCCGTGCTGCGCATGCGCGAGGAGCAGTAACGTGACACGGCGCACAGCTGGCGCACCGGAGCCGCCGCCGCGCCCGCCTCGCCGGTCTGCACATTCTAGAGGAGTGACGTCATAGCCCCGGCAGACGCACTGGCGCCACCGCGTGCCCAGCTGTGCGCCTCCGTTGCGCAGTAGCCAAGTCTGACGCTGCACCGGAGCCGCTTGATAGCGCCTCTCATTTTGTGCGCATAAGCTCACGCTACGTATATCCTGGCATAGCCGAGCTAAGCCACTACAATTTTATCAAATACCCTTCCACATCAAGATTAGTTTAATGTAAGCTCGCGTTATTACATTAACCTATATAATTACTTAGGTAAGCTAAGCTGCATACGAATTACCATTTCGTACGTCACCTTTTAGTTATCATGGCATTCCTTTTAATCGCGTAAAAGACGAGAAATAATAATTTGGCATGGAGAAGTCAAACTAAGGCATTTATTTATCACAAACACTAAGAAAAAGCAATGAGAGGAAACACATTATTATATTTTACCTGAAAAATTGTGGCTCTACGAATGAGCCCAAAGAAACTGCAATTATTTTTTGAGGACGGACGAAGGATTTTATAACTGTTTGAACACTTTCCACTTCAACGTGTATGGAATATAATCGTCTTATCAGAAATTTTGAATCGTTTTATATATGCAACTGTGCAGAAGAGATTTGCGATAATACTTGGGTTTTCATGAGACACAACCCAAAAGTTTCGTGGAAGAACTACGAACTGCACCGAGAAGACGTGATGCTCACCGTCAAGGGTCCTACTGTATTTGGAATATGTACAGCGCTTGGGACACTAAGGTGTTTTTTTGCTTTTGTATAACAAACTCATCTATTTAAAGATTTGCAGGTATATCCTTAATTATCAACTCGCTGGGAATCATGAAAAGCTTCAAAATAAGTCCCTTCTACAATGAATTAAGGAGCGTGCTGTTTTTGTGCCCCCTTCCCCTTCCAACCCAACCCAAACAGAAAACAACAACAGCAAACAGAAAAAAGAAACAACAACAATCACAGCATAACACTTGAACACGAAGTCGTGGTTTCGGTTCCCTGTTGAATGTTGTCTGAAAGATGGAACGACCTTAGTCGCTGCAAGCTGAAAAACCTAGGTGTGTGACTTACTAAGTTTCGGCTACTCGCTTTGTGATCCGTTCTTGGGGAACCTTATCAACAAATACTGCTATCTCAATGGTTGTTGAGCGATTATAAAAGGTTGAAGTCCGAACTCTCAACAGTAACATTTGCCTGGCACACAGACTATACATTTACTCGGCTCCAAAGATGAAACATTTCAAATATAGTTTACGGAAGAACATGGCTCCTATAATTCAGCCCGGCAAATTTTCATCTTTAGTGCGATTTCACCACAACACGGACACACATTTGTTTTGTTTTCGTACAGCTCGCGCCCAAGTTATGATTTTCACTTAACAACACAACTCAAAACCGACGAATCTAGACAAATAAGAGGAGACAACTTGGTTTGCGCTCATCATCGTTGTCATTTCAGCTCTTTTTTTATCCTTTACTTTGTTTTATCGCCTATGGACTCTATCTTTTGGCACTTTGTTCTCTCCCGCTTTCCAGAGAGTGGTCCAGTACTACAGCATCTCGTCGCCCAAAAGCCGCTTCGCGGTCCTCAACCAGCACCATTCGTACTTCGTCCTCGCCGATAACGGCACCACGGGAAAGTACGGCGCCGAGATCGGGCTCCGCAAGAGGCTCGAGAAGCACATCTCCAGGCAGAAGTTCTATCACCGTGAGTTACACAGCGTTGACACTTTTACGCTTCGCAGTGAACTGCACCTAACATTTTCTTTTTTAGAAAACATTTAGCCAGTAAGTGCAGTAATAGACTGGGAACAAACAGAAAACCGTGCGTTTAATCATGATTCTAATCAACAAAGTGTGTGTTTGAACGTCACGCATAAAAATGAAAGACGTCTACAACTCCCTGTAATGCCGAATTAGAGTGCTGCTCTTGAGGAGGAGGGGGGAGGGTATGCCCCTCCTCCACCGTACCCTCTCCCACTCCCCTCCTCGCCTTCCTCCCTCCTCGTCTTATTCTCCTCCGCTCCTCCTCCCTTCCTCCCCCTCGTGACGTCACTCGTGATCCTCGTGACGTCACTCGTAACCCTCGTGACCTTCGGGACGCCACTTGTGACTTTCGTGACGTCACTCGTGACTCTCGTGACGTCACGCGTGACGTCATTATGAGAAACGTCTCATGATGCAACGCGCGGGTCACTCGTGACCCGCGTGTTACATCACGGGACGTTTCCCATAACGCAACGCGCGGGACCCTCGTGACGGCAAACCTGACGTCACGTGTGAAATGATTGTGGGAAACGTCCCATAAAGCAAAGCGCGGGTCACGAGTGAGAACCACGCGTTGCATTATGGGACGTTTCCCATAATGCTACGGGCGGTTACGCCGACGGTGACGCCGCTCAAGCCGGAAACGGGCGCCTAAGAGCCGCGCTCTAATATTATATTCTCGTACAGATTAAGGGGCAAAGGTAAAAAGGTAAAGCCCACTTATGTGCTGTATGCTTGTATACGGGACCAGGTAAGCCGTCTACCAGAAATGTCAGCTCAAGAAGAAGAAGAAAAAAAATCAACAAGTTTTGCGCATTGTTTTTACGCTGGGAAAAATAGTTCTTAAAATATTTACTTGGCCGAAAGGAAGAACGGTATGTTCATGTTTGAAATATGTACGTTTTAACAGAATAACAAATCACTAATCTTAAGTGCAGATGCATATAGCTAAAATTCACCGTATAGAAGGGGATCTAATAAAACTTTGCGGAGAGTCGACTTCTTTTTTTAAATACGGTTTTTTGAGTTCAACAGAAGTATTGTCCCTCATGTTAGACGGAAATGTGTTGGTAGGAAAATGAATAATAAAAAAATCCCGCGACTGTTCGCATACCGATATGCGGGACAAAACCAAGACATTACAATCTGTAAAACGTAAAACAAATATAGGAGTGAGAAATCAAACATTAAGTGACGTTTGGGGTTAAAACTCGAGCTCCTTCCAATGGATTGCAGAGAGCCACTCAATGCCTTCCCGCATAGAGGAAGTTCCGTTGTTCAAAAAGACGGCGGCCGTGTATAAAAGGCCTGCGAGTAGTAAAATAACCCAGAGTTTCCCAAAGCCCTCGTGCTAGCGAGAACAAAGGAACACCGACAAAATGTCTTCCTTTTTAAAGGCTGTGCCACTTTACTTGCGTTTTTTTTTATCACCCAGGTCTTAGGTTTTACGATGTCTGGCTTGTTCATTGATCACTGTGTCAATGCACAAACTAGTGACAAGCTTTCATATGTTGGTTGAAGAAGGAGTGCGAACCTCCCTGGTCGATCCCGGGGCACTGCGGGTGTCCCGCCATCAAGTGACACACATCAAAGACCGTCCTTTCGTGACGCTAGGGTTCCATTCGGCAACAAATTGGAAGTGTGCTTATAATGCAATTAAATGCAAAGGTGCAAGCGAGCTGGACAGTAAAGATGAAAATAATCCCTTCTCCAGGGATTATTTTCATCTTTACTGTCCAGCTCGCTTGCACCTTTGCATTTAATTGCATTATAATCATAACCTTAAATTGCAAGCTTCACCCTTGTTGGTGTTAGACTGGTGGCGGCTGATAAAACCCGTTTGCTCTACTGATGTCTAACCCCTGGTTAGCTCAATTGGTAGAGCGCTCCACCTGTAATGGAGAGGTCCCGGGTTCGATACCCGGACCAGGCGGATTTTTTCGGTCGCGCACCAGTCACCTAGCTGTGTTTGGAGATTTGTGTTTGTCCTTTGTCCCTCTTGTTCCCCTTCTCCAGGGATTATTTTCATCATGGAAGTGTGCGCTGTTTACCGGCCTCCCTCATGGTCGGGGTAAATAATAAACCGGTTTCTTTTTATCTCTTTGTCATTAATCATTCTGTTTCCGAGTTACTGGGTAGACTCCCGCTTGACATCGGACATTGAAATGGCCTATGGGGCGCGAGAGCTCGTCTGCTTCTTTTTTAGGGGTCGTGGGGGACATCAGAACGCCGAGCTTTGATTGGCTCTGATTGAAGGATAGTGGGTAGATCCAAAAGCAAGCCGCCTTGATGTCTACCCACAATCCTTCAGTCAGAGCCAATGAGAGCTCAGGGTCTTTCTGACGTCACCACAACCCCTGCAAAAGAAGCAGACGAACTTGCGCGCCCCATAGGTATAGGGCGTGGCTTGTAATGTTCACGCCCTTTGCCTCGCGATTGGTTATTCGTCGTTCGCATCGGCCAATGCTGTAACCCGATTGGCTGCGGGACGCCAATGAGATTCTGTTGATTCGAAACGCTCCGCGTATCCTTAGCTGCCAGGGACTAAAGTAGAGCCACCAAAACACTGCGCAACGTAACACGCCAGAAGCTTAGGTCCTGTGGGAAACCTACCAAGGCATTTTCCTTACAGCTCTTGCTCAACACATATTAGTATGCATTCTAAACTGAAAATGAACGTATTTGACGACATGCTTACGTGGGAGTCAATGACATTTTAAGAAACGCGGGGCGTGACCAGTCCCCATACACCGGGATCAACAATGGCGGCGTTATGAGGCCTCACTTGCTGACGCGTGCGCTAGAGTTCTGGACTCGTTCCGTGCGACCCGCTAAGGTTCTCGAGGGGTAGATTAATATGGTGTTATAACACGGTGACGCGTCGCCGCCTCTGCTTGTGCAGGTTCCAACGTGCAGTGGTGCGGCATCCCGGTGGTGTGCGTGATCGTCGAAGGTGGACTGAACACCGTGCGCACCGTCCTGGAGTACGTCACGGACTTGCCTCCGGTGCCCGTGGTGGTGTGCGACGGCTCGGGTCGCGCAGCCGATCTCATCGCTTTCGCACATCGCTACATCCCGGATGACGAGTAAGATTCAACGTTATCATTTAAACTGAACGACATGCTCGTGTGGTGCAAGAATTTTCTGGATTATTTTTGTATTGGCTATGCTCTCTGCTATATTTTTACAGCGGCAGTAAACACAGTGAAAGAAAAGTTTCACTAGTTTTCGTATGAATATTGGTTAGTATACGGAGCGCGTCTAATTCAAACTCGTCAGTTGGAAAAAAATCAACTCGGAAGATAAGAAAACCGTGTCAAATTAAAATCACAGAGGGACAGAGGTAGACGTTCGGCTTGCTTTTAAACGAGAAATGATATTTAATGATGTCCACTACAATTCTTTAGCTCTTTCTGGGTTTGCTGCCAAATTATAGCGAACATAATTAAGTGATGTTGCGAGTTGAAAGATGTTTGAGTGTCTGTCTTTTTTTTCTCTTTTCGTTCTTTCCTGTTCTTTATTTTTACCAATCCGATATGTGCCAAGTTCGTTTTCGAAGTTTTTATTGGAAATATTTCTACAAGGAATAAGTATGTCTGCAAGGTTCACATACAAAGTGTACGTTTTTTTAACTCAAATATTTAAAAAAAAAACAAAGTTGTTTTAAAAAAAATATTATGATTGAGAACACATGCGCAGAAGAAGATATTGTTCATAAATGATTTACGCAAAACTGTTCTATACAAAATCTCGTACAATTGCCAAAGAAGAATGACGTTCGAATAGGACAGATTTTGTTCATAATACAATAAATAGTTTTCAAATTTATATAATGCTTAAAAAATAGTTTTATAAAAAGTCTTACCAACATAACATGTCAGGTGAAGACTTTCGGCGCATAGCGAAATTGTACTTGAAGTAACTTCAAATAACAAGCCTCGCCCGTAACCTGATGAACCTCTGATGCGCTCGAGCAGGGGTCTTCAAACGTTGTTGGCTAAAAAGCCGGATCGGGGACCTGCTGCTGTCTTGAGGGGTGATAAAATTAAATGAGAAAACAAAAAAGAAACTAACTAAATAATCCTAGACAAGCCATTCAATATAAAATTCAAAGTTAGAATTAAAAATAGAAATAATCTAAGGTGGATGAATACATACACTTTATCTTGAAATTCAGTATTCAACTAATTATGATATTACACAGTAGCTGGGACCCAGAAAACTAACCAGGCATAAATCAAAGCGCATAGGAAATTCGGCATTTTCGCACAGTGCAGAAGAGATAGAGCTGATATTGACAATATGCAATAAAAAATGTGACACAGGATACTAAGCACAACATACGTGGGAACGTAAAGGAATTCTAACAAATGTAGTTACCCAGATATGAAGCTGGGGACTAAGAATGGCGGTCGTGGTGCGAGGACATATCTTATGATACGCAAATTTCTCTCATTTTTTTGTGGTATTTTTACTTTACCCGGATGATTCCCGTTGCGACACCGTTTCTCTAAGCGGGGCGATGTTTGCGCCGGCCTGGCCTGCTGCAAGCAGGCTGCAGGCCGTGGTCCGGGCTTCATTGGAAGTACTGCGGTCAGCCCCGGGCCGGTCTGAAGACCTTCCGAGTTGGATCGGGCCCCCGGTCCGGGCTTCGGAAACCTCCCCAATAGAGTGAAATACACTTAAAATTTAGATGCTGTTGGGGAGAACATTTTGGCCAAGTGTAAAAGAAATCCGGAAACAGTGGTTCCTCTGTGATTATATTTTATTGAGTGAGTCCCGTGAATAACTGCACTCTCTTAAGATCGTGTATCGTCTGAGCTTTGTCGTTTGGTGAAATCGAAGTAACACGCATCATGGCACAGGAGTAAACTTCCCGAGGGCTTCCGCGATCAGCTGATTACGACCATCAAGAAGACTTTCCAGATCCAACAAGAGCAAGCTGAACAGGTCTACGTGGAACTCCTGCAGTCCATCAAGAAGAAAGATCTGGTGAGTTTCTAGCCCACCAACCACCCGCCCATCTGTCAACTAAAGACAGACAACGTTCAACCCTTTCTGCAAATCCGAGAGACTCATGCACGAAGCACTGACCGAATCGCGTAATCAAGTTGTTCTATTGTCTGCTATTGTTTTGTTCTTAATTTTGTTGACGTTTTCTTTAGATAACGGTGTTCCGAATGGGAGAGGGCCCCTGCAAGGAACTAGACCAGGCAGTCCTGTCAGCATTGCTCAAAGGTACGTGCAACTGCTACATTATGTCTAGGCTTCGTGAAGAGTACTTGAAGAGTACGACGTAACAAATACATGTGAAATGTCACGGAAGTCTATAAGTTTTGAGCCGAAGTCAACGGAATCTGAGACGGTTGGAGAATGGCAGGTGAGAAGTATAATCAGTATTAAGGACAGGATTGTTAAAGAAGCCAGCATTGCTTGGGAGATGATAAAGGTATTGTTACTAAATGCTTAAGAAACACGAAGCAGGGCGTGTCACGAGCGTCTTAATGTGGCTAACAGTTTTGTGCCATTTCCCAATAAAAACTCCGAAGAACCAATAAGAAAACGAGAACATAATTCGCTTCACCCACACGTTTGTTAATGTTGGCAGTGACTGCAGTCAATACCACGTTTTCCCAACTGGTGCCTGTACCACCATTCAATATTCGGCGTAGTTGGACGCTCTATGTCACCGACGGAGTTTGTGTGTGATTCAGGGCAGCAACACCTGCCTCGAGTAATCATCACCATAATGCAGTAAACCTAGAGGACTCATACGGGCACTATGAAAGGAATGAGTTGATGCCGGGCATTATTATATATAACGAGTAAACAAAACAAAATATATATAGAACTAAAAGGTGTTTGCGCCCCTGGTAATTGTCGAAAGATTACGAAGAAGCATACTCATAGAGATCACTATAGCTGACATTCTTTATAAATATATTATATCCTAAACAAAAAGTGTTTTATTATATCTTGAAAGTTTGAAGAAAGTTTGAAGAAACGCGTTACGCTACCACACGTTCGAAAGAGTCAAGTGTAGGATGCAGATGTAATAAAGAGGTAAAATAGATTCTACAAAACTTGAAGCAAGCTCAAAGACAACATAGTCGTGTCAACGCGTAAAAAAATAAAAAAAGGATAAAAGGAAAGTCAAAGGCTCACTGGGAATCAGGATTATAGTTCAGATTTATACTCTCTGTTCATGTAAAACCCCTCTTTACCAAGTACCAAAGTCTCAAATTAAACTTGCCACACTTCCTCGTATTGGTCAGCTTAAACTTGTTTAGAAAGAAAGAGTTAAAACGAGATTTATTTTTATATTTATTTATTTGCAAAGGAAATATATTTCCTCTGCACAGCCCGGCTGAAATTTTCATACATTTGTGCACAAAGAAAATACCACAGGGCATGTAACGCCGGCAACTCCAGTGTGCCAAAAGTGCAAGGTGTGCAACACAGCAGTCGGTAAAGATCTAAAATATGAATTTTATTCACATAATAAAGACCTTTACATAAGAATAAAAAAAAAGCAGTATCCATATAACGTCTAATTTCTCACACTTAAGTAATCAATAAATTATGGAAGTGACGGTCGAATGAGGATAGATTGGGCCCACATGTTGAGTAACCAAAAGTCATTAAAATTAGGAGTAAGATTCTGCTATTATTGCTTCAACAAATGGCCGCGTGCTTGCGTTTTATAGATACTTTTATGGTTCACACTATAAGCAGATGTCCCAAAAACAAATGAAAATAATGAAGCTGCGGCCAGCCGTGCCCCACTGGGATGTTATTTGACTAATTGCATGCCCGAACAAATTCTACGACCCCAAGATATAAAGAGATAAAAAACAAAAACGACATAGCGGTCACAAGTTTTGTTTGTATTTAGTCGATTTCGCTAGATGATTTGTTCCTGGCAGATGGCCGATATCAGGTGGCGGAAATCTTCCGTGAATCACCGGGTACTAATCCTTTCCCCCAATCCCAGCTAATCTCTCTTGCCAGAGAATTGTGGGGACCAAAAAACTAATAAAAGCGAAAAGATCCCACTCCATGAATGAAGAAATGAGCCACATGAGTTTATAGGTTAATCCAAATGAGATTTTTTGTAATTGTGTTTGCATGTTCCGTGTCTTACATTGTGTTTAAGAAAACAAAAAAATCTCAGTTTAAGGTTAAACTTTGAAGTTCAGCAAGACCTCGGGCTTCCCCTCTTAACCCATTTCACAATTATTGAGGTTTAGGAAGTGTCGTATTTTTCAAATATTATTTCGTGAGAAGCCGGCGCTAGAAACTGAGTGCCAGAGATATATGAGCTGGACGAGGTAGTGGGAACTATGCTCTCTAACCGTCATGTTGACATTTATAAGTGAGGCATTTGACCGTTAGCTCTTCTAGGACAATATTTCGAAACGATTTTTATAATCTGACATTTAAGCTCTGTTTTGTTGTTGGTGAAATAAAGATGTCACGTGGTGTCAAGTATGTGGATTCAGTCTGTTCGGCCTGCCCTTTCCACAGCTCATTAGGTAAGAGCTCATTTCTAAAAAAAGAAAATCAAATTACATTTTCTACAAATCACTCTTGATATAATCTTAAAAAGAATAATATAACCTTAATAAAGAAAATGTATGAACGGAACTACGTCTTAAACTATGCATGATCTGATTCAGCTCAAAGGAGTTTAAAGCTTTACTATGGGTAATATACAATGTTTACCACCCAATTCGACGGTTTATTTCATTATGATTTTCTGGGTGAAAAGATTTCACCCGTTAATTGCACGATGTATGCTTGAAATTAGTTGCATATCAGCACAAAATAATACCAGTGGCTTTAGCGTGATATTTGATCTATACCACTTGTTTGGTCATAAGCTCAAGTTAAGCTTACGCAAACATTTGTAGATGTTATTTAAACGTTTTCGAAAAAAAAAACTGAAATGTTTCCAAACTGATAATTTTTTTGAGCGGATGATCATAAATTCATATCGCTTGTAACAAAAAAGCTGTGACCTTTATCAGGGCTACTTTATTCATTCTAAATTTGGTAGAAGTCCCTGTTAGCTGCTTTGTCAAGATAGGTTCTATCTTATCCCACGCGGTAGCTATGAGGGAGACTCGGAACTGATTAGTCGAGAAAAGATGTTTCAGTGCTGGGTAAAGTTCATATAAAAAGTACTCGAAGTAAAGTGTAAAGTAGTAGACAGTAAGGGAGAGGTTATGTACTTTAAGTAAAATATTAAGTACACTGAGCGCAATATATTTCAAGTAAAGTACTATAAATACCATTTACTTTCAAAGAAAGTACAAGTACTTTTCAATAAAACCTTTCATGACGTCCTCTCAGTCCCCTATGCAGTGTTTTAGAGCGCAGGTTTTAGGTGTCCGTTACGGGGCTGAGCAGTGTCGGCGTCGGCGTAACCACGTGTTAAATTATGGGACGTGTCCCACAATGACGTCATTAGTGATGTCACGTGTGACGTCACAAGGGCGAAATTTTCCCCGGCTAATTTCTCGGAAAATTTTTTCTGCTAAATTTCGCAGGAACATTTTCTGCTAAATCTAGCGGGGAACGTTTTAGCGGGAAACTTTTACCCTCCTGATGTCACACGTGACTTCACGTGTGACGTCAATATGGGGTGGCGTCAGTGTGATGTCACGCTAAATTTAGCGGAAAGATGTAGCTGAAAGTTTTCCACTATATTTAGCTTTGAAATTTACGTCACGTGACCTGAACACCAATTCATTGTCCCCACTAAATTTAGCTGGAAAAAGTTCGCTAAATTTTTCGCTAAATTTCGTGAAAAAATGTTACCACATTTCCTGCTAAATTTATTGTGGAAATTTTCGCTTTATTTAGCGGGAAACGTAGAAGAACATTTTCGCTAAATGGGAGGAGAGCAGGAGAGGGTACGGAGGGGGAACAGGGACATACTCTCCCCTCCGTACCCTCCGCTCCTCCTCCTCAAGAGCTGCGCTCTAATTCGGCCTTACAGATAATTGTGAACGTCTTTCATTTTTTAAAATGATATGTATTGCCCCAGGGGTGACGGGGGTGCATCACTTATTTTAGAAAATAGACGCAGATTTTGGATAAAGTCAAGTTGTTTTACTCTGTCTTATGAACTATTTAACACAATAAATTTTGTAAGGCACTGATTTGTTTTGGTCGAATAGCCGCCATTAGTTTGATCAAAAGTGAACGGATTACTTCTCAAAAGACGATGGTGCGTTTTCATAAGACTATATGCGATTTTTTTTAAAGGTTGGTGAACTCTTATAATCAACCTTAGAGGTTGTGTACAGTACTAGAAAAGCCAAAGACCCAGAGCGCGTGGTTCTTGAAAGAACAAAATTTCAGCGAGAATAAATTTGGGGAATGTGCTTTGAAGTCGGTGGTTGTACTTTCCTTGAAAAGTACCAAAAAATACTTTAAATGAAGTACAAGTGCATACTCAGAGAATCTGCTTCAAGTAAACTGCAAGCTTTCTAACCCTACTTGAAGTAGTACTTTAAGTGCAATGTAAATGAAGTGCTTCTCAACTCTGGTTACAATACCAACAAAAACTGTGCGTAAAAAAAAAATTATCTTTGCTTATTCTAATCCTTTAATTGATTTCACGTGGGAGCTTAAATATGCACTGCGCCAACTACATAAATATAGATACCACAATATTTCAGATACAAGTGAAAGTAACTTCTTTCTACTTTCTGTTAGAGCATGTGTTCGAGAGATTTTATGTGCATACTTCATAAACTAAAACGCCTGAATGTGAGTTGCTTTAGTGAAAAGAGGCCAAAATTGTTTTTGCTTTGTTTATCAGGACAGTTCCTTCCACCCGTTGATCAGCTCAATCTGGCACTGACCTGGAACCGGGCGGATCTGGCAAGGTCGGACATTTTTGTCTACGGACAAGAGTGGGCGGTGAGCGGAAAATATGTCGTAAATTTAATTTACAAGGAATAACGGTTTTCTCATTTTACTTTTATTGTGCGTTTAGAGGCTCAGAAATGCATACTGCTATAAATGACGTCAATATCAAAATTCATAAAAGGATATATTTTTTGTCTCTACTATGTACTGCGGTAACAAAAAAAAGCATTGTATGAAAATTAAAAAAAAAATGTCACATTAGATACAGAAAATTATTCTTACGATTGCTGGCTATGGAGAATAAATTCTTAACGGCATACAACTGCCCTTCAATATAATTATTTGTTAGAACTTTATTCACCGAAGTTTTGTAATAGTGAGGAATGGCAGATGAGAATGAATTGTACCTAAATATTTTATTTTGTTTAAATGCGGTTTCTAAATTAGTGAAATTTATATAATTTATAAAAGATTCAAAATACCGAATAACGTTACGCCCTAGGGAGAGTAGTCCTTACGCATGATAGATTTAACGTTCGATTAGGAATTTACTACAAATTTCAAAGTGGCACTGAAGCCTCACTAGGAAACTTTGGTTGTTCCAAGCTTAGCTTATTCAGCTTTGCTTCCGGTCGGCTTCCACTGCCATCGTGTTTGGATTTATTGTTAGAATGTAGAAAAGAAGGTATCTGACGCAAACCTTTGGCGATCTTTCAACAGCCCGGCGCACTGGAGCAAACCATGATGGACGCCCTTACGATGGATAGAGTGGATTTTGTCCAACTCTTGTTAGAAAATGGAGTCAGCATGCACAAGTTCTTGACCATACCGCGTCTGGAAGAGCTCTACTGCACCGTAAGTTTATTCATAAAAGTTCCCTGAGTAAAACCATGGCCTGGAAGCCATCGTGTAAAATGTCCGTCATTGGCCATTCGCATTATTACGTGGAAAGGAAGACGAGGAAATTGTATTATCAGCCTGTGTAAGTAAAGGCATGTAATCTAAAGGTCATGGAGTATTAAGGTTATTTAATGTTGTTTTTTGTATATTTTCAAGCAAATTGTTGTTGACAACCGTTCGATAAATATTATATAGGTGGGTGAATAGTAGTTTGAGTGGAATCGATGTTCGTTTTAAGAATGTCAAGAAAATCATTCTTGTAATGTAATGTTATGTTGAAGCATAAAATGACACTGTGCTCATGGATTCATAAATATATTCACACACTCGATCTTAACACGTGGTAAATACGGTCATGTACGAATGGTGATTTTATGCATTTTGACAGTATTGAACAGAATAAAAAATGCACTAATAAAATCGTAACCCGCTCTTGTCAAAATGAGCTACAAAGTATGGCTGACATTATTAATTTGAATTAACCAGCACTTCGCTGTTTATTGCTAGAATATAACGTGGATATAAATTATATTATAATTCGAAGAAAATGTACAAGGTATTTTGTATGATAAGATGTCGAATTGATATATTTTTAAGACTTCAACTGGTAGCCAAGAGAAATGTTTTTCAATGTTGTAAATAAATAATCACACGTAAAAATATCGATTTATACCTGCAATTTCTATATTGATTTTAATATTTTTTTGTTTGTTTTTAATATTGAGCTTTAAAATGTATTACTCTCTCTTGGGGATACCGTATTTACTCGAGTAATAGCCGCACTATTTATGAACAAGGCCCTTGCGTCTACTTTACCACAAAACACATATACAAACAATCATTGCGTTGCGCATAAATAACATAGCGAATAACCGGATCGAGAATACAATTCTCCATAGAAATGCTATCTTCAAAGATGGTTTCTTGGCACAAAGACGTTATCTCTGTCATGTAAACAGCTGGAATCATGCGGTCGAACGCGGTGATTGGCAATCTGCGTGCTCCGCGGAAAAGAGAACCCTCAGACTTTCTTCATAAACAGTGCGGCTATTACTCGAGTAAGTACGGTATCACACAATATAAGTTCTCTTGATGCAGAAAATATACTGTAAATTTGCCAAAATTTTGTACTGCCTAAATGATGCAATTAAGATGCTGCATGGTCCCGACATTTCATCGAATACAAAGTGTGATCTTTTGCAAATACAAGGTGCAATCAGGCACGTAGTGATATTTTTTGCTTACTATTATTAATGTGTTTATTACAAGAAACAATATCATTTAAGCGATGAATACCAGGCCATAGGGTAACTTTCTTCTTCTTTGAAGCTCAATAAAAATAAATATGGGGCCCTCACTTCAAATGTGCAGGCATTATCAGTACACAGGAGGGTACGCTCCATGACACCTATCCAGGCATGCCAGTCATAAAGAGCTTGGCAAACACCATCTTCTGGTATCCCGGCATTGCTTAAGTTATCTCCACAGCGCCGAAGAGAAATTAACTAAACAAAAGCAATAACTAAGAAACGCACTGAAGTCTGGTAGGCGCTCATAAGACGCGTCGTTTAGGTTATTTCGAGATAGCATTCGCTCGGGAAAGTTCGAGTGCCTGACGACATGTGTGCTCAAATGCGAATCCCATTTTGCTATGCGGCGATTCTTCGTATGTCGGTTTTTCGATCAGTGCGGAGGTTGAAGAGAGTGCTATTTCGACAATGCGACGCCGACACGAACAACGGGTGTCGTCTCAATTCCTCCAATTTTTGCAGAAACACGGACCAAGTAACACGTTCCGCTTTCTCGTCAAAGAAGTGCGCAAGGTAAGAGATGCTCGATGGCGTCCCGTGTCGCCTGCCACGCTGGTTTTCGTTGTGAAATTTTGTGCTCAAATTTTATGTGAAAGTAAAATCGAAACAGAAGTGCCGCGTGGTTCGGGAGTGATGCGGCGTGAAATTGGACTCGCTCTTTCGTCACACACAAAGGGATTTCGTTAAAGGCCCACGGGGCGCAATTCAACCGACTGGTCTTTCTTGCGAGTGTTTTTTCACGAACACCGCTGAGTATATTACGAGTCCAGGCGTCGGAAGTGTTTAAGAGATAGGAAGGGGCAACGGGATTCTGTATTAGACAAATTTTGAATTGTCTGAATTAAGTACTAGTACTGTCCAAGTTCTTTACAAAATAAATGACTAAGGAGGAGAGGGAGGGCACCAGCACACCCCTAGGTTATAACCCCCTCCCCCCCCCCCCCCGCATTCACCACGCCACTGAGCCAGTTAATTAAAAAAAATGAAATTGTTATTTATACTTCAAGCGTCTGAGTTTCTGAGTATAAAGTGCTATCGGGAAAAGTAATATATAGTTCTCGTTTGCGATAACGCAGTGCAATTATTTTGCTACTGCGTATGATTTATCATCATACGCACCCCAGCCCGATAAAGATCTATTCACGAGTTATTCCGAGCGGGACGACACCTTAATGGTTTCGAGCGAAACGCTACAGTCATGCGTTGTAAGTTACTGCTCAGCTAAACAAATAAACGCTTCGATCTTAAACCGGCTCGCTGAAGTCCCAGATGTCGACTAAAAAACGTCCGTGGCTTATTGTTTTGGTGTGTCATTTTATGAGTTTGAATACGTTGCCAAATGACGCATCACCCGATTTTATTTTCCGAACTGTCATTTTACTACGTCGGGAAAATTGAAACACGATCGAAGGTAGTTCGTTAAATTCGAGACAAAGTTCACGTAAGGCATAACGAGAATATCGTCTAAATTAGTTAATAATAAAACGCTGATTCCACCTCGATGGAACCGCAGCTTTGTGTCATACACCCGAAAGGAAATCATGTGTCAGACGTTGAATCCGGAATCGTGCTGGGTCTCTTGAATAGGTTTTAGCAGAATGTTGAATTTAAGATGGCTCGCACATGTGCGCTCATGAAGAAACGACAGCGTTCCCTAGTTAGACTATGTTCTATTTTGTCAAAGTTCAATACTCCCACTTTGAAGACGAGACCTAGTCATGACGTTATCGTTAGTGGGTCACCGACCCTCCTCAAATGGCAATTAACTACGCACTCTAACGAATTACTTAATGGCGAAGGCGGTTTGTACGTGATTATAACTGGCCACGACTAATTACTTTCCATGTCATTTATTGTCACGAATGACGATTGATGAGGCGACAAAAACTGAAAGAAACTCAACTTTTATCGTGGTCAACTTGTGCCCAAAACAAAATAGCACAAGGCTAGCGTCGCATGCGTCGATGGCGGCGAAACGGCAGGATGGAGCGCTGGGGCGAGACTCACTCCGGACCGCCACGCGGAGCGGTTTGTGAACCCGTGTGGGCTCCTCGAACATTCGACGTGGAAGGTTCGGCGCGTAGATCATTCGGACCTCGAATAGACAAGTGTCCTCAAATTAACCAGAACGCGACATTTAGCGAAATAACAAAATGAGTGTCCGCTCCCAGACACCTAACCTAGGCCCTCTGCGTAAAAGAAAAGATGATAACCATTCGGCTACGCACGCGCTTGCTCGGCGACGCGCGTGGCGATATTGAGAAGGACCCCGACAGTAGAAGACATAAGCCCTTCCATCTCGCACCGAGTATTAAGTGTACGGTCACAACAGCAAACTCCCGTTGTTATTCAATAAATGTTAGTTCCTAGCTGAAAGTAGCTGCGTTTTGTAGCATCCTTTGATCCCCTTTAATGTGTAATGTGTCCTCTAGTTCTCACATTGAATGTTGATTTTGCGCAGAATCTTCCATCCGGGTACCGATACACACTGTACGACATCGGATTGGTTGTGGAGAAGCTGATGGGCGGAGCCTATCGGTCAGCCTACTGTCGACGAAAATTCAGAAACCTGTACTCGACTGTCATGCGGCGAATGTCCACCGTAAGTACACTGCGCATAATTAGGTCGTAAATGCAATGTTGCAACATGTAGCATCTGTTCGTCCGCATCAGCGTATTGTTCCAATTTCAATAATAAAAAAAGTGAGAAGTTTGCACTGAATTACCGCCGTTCCTAAGGAAACGTGCTACGTAAGTCCACTTTAGTGGATGTTGGCAGAACATGAGACCGATTTTATGTTCTTTGGTTCACTGCGCTTTTTTTCCTGTACAAACAGCTGGAGTGGTGAATCGAAAATAAGTCCAAACACATTTCCGCAAAAAATATAAAGTGAACACTGTTTTACCGATCGTCGATAGCTACCTCTCCTTAAATTGAGATCTCAAGAATGAAAGTTTGTTCTACCACATTTCAAAATACTTGCATTCCCATTAGAATGCCTGGTCAGTTCCCACAGTTTGCTTGCTAAGCGCATGAAAACGCCGCAAAAATGTAAAGAAGTACTCAAAAAAACGTTACACCCAATAGAGCGTTTATAGGATTAACCAAGCATCAAAGAGAATGCCGGGAATGTAGGTACACCCGCTGCGCGTCCTGGCGTCTGTAGCTGTAACTGTTAGGAAGCAGAAATCTAAAACAAAGGGCACTCCGCACGCGCGTTCCACAAATTATTAGTTTCGGTCATTTATTTCGATTCCTTCGCATAGGAAAGACGAGTGTGTGTACCTACGTTCCCAGCATTTTGTTTTAAGCTTGGCTAACTTAGCTAAAGATCTATTAGGCTTGCCGATGATTTTAGACGATGTCAAAGATGTGCGGAGTATCGGAATTTCTGTTAACTGTGCTCGCACAATCTGGGGAAGTAACCAAACAAAAATCTTGTTTCTGAACTTCGTTAAGAAATCTTACAAATTCAGTGTTGGATTAAAAGTTTAAGATAGCGTAGAAGAATAAAAAAAGATGTGGAAAGAAACGTGAAAGAAGGAAGTAGAGGCTAAAAGAGACGACGGACTGAATCACCATAAGAAGCCGGGGCCGAAGTGGTGTATTACCTCGCCCGGAGGACTCCACATTGATCAAACGTACCCCGAGCCGAGGTAAACCACAGGGATGCCCTTTTTCCAGGACACGGGAATGCCACACACAGAGTCAGACATGGGTGGGTGCACCCACATGGTTGGGTCCGTGGTGACGCCACTCACCAAAAACCTACTAACGCAGTTGCCTGCAGAGGTGGTCTGATTAATGTGAAAGTGACTGGTCCTGCGTGAACAAACTCTGGTTTTCAGACTCGCGAAACTGTGATGGCAGACGTCTTCTCCCATTGTCGCGAATAATATCACAGGGGCGTATTCCTGTATCTGCGATCTAAGACCTTCCAGAAACTAAGGCCAGCACACCCGCTCCATGACGTCACTGTTGCTAGGCCGCCGAGCGGAATACGCTGCAGTTGGTTGGGCGCTGGGCTTTGGTGCGTCGGCGCCCTGACTGGACAGTCTGTAGATTTGATTGGAAATATTGCAAGTATGTCACTTACCCGTGCGTGACGACGTAATTATTCAAATTCCACCTGCTATAATTAGTCATATCAAAATTTGACTGTTAGTATTTACTGTTAGGTTACGACGATCGAAAACACTTCTGGTAAACATGAGCGACTACACCCTTTCCACAATTTTTAATTTGAAACGTATTTCTCACGTTCGTGCTTACCACACAAGTTGGACACTCGTGAAAAAGTATTTTGTGCCTAGCGTCTTTCAGGCGGTTTCCGAAAGATAAAAAAATTAAAAGAAGATCCATTGGTTGATCTTTAGGGAATGCGTTATCATGACGCTTCGGAAACGCCACACTTCCCCCTTTCGGGAACGCTAACGCAGACCCCTTCACTTTTCAATATTGGCTTTCCCTTTTGGCTTTTTTTTTTTGCTTCCTCTATTTTTCGCTGCCTCTTTTTACTTCGTTAAGATTAGCGTTTCCCAGAGCGGGACGTGTGTCGCGTTTCCCAAGGGTCATGCTAACGGATTCCCTAAGAATTCACCAATGAATCTTCATTAAATGTTTTTGCCGCCAACTTGAACAAGCGCGAGTAATTACTTCACCACACTCCATTTTGTAGCACAAATCAAGGCATGCGCGCTCCGCACACCTGCAAGTTCAGACTCGCCCCCACATTCGCGCGCTCATTGGCTTCCGCCCCGTGACGTCACATCCCTCTCGCCTCGCCTCGCCTCGCCGCGCGCGCATTGGCTTCCGCCCCGTGACGTCAAATCCCTCTCGCCTTTGATTTTCGCTACTCTCCTTTTTACGCGGCGCGATTCCCTTTCCACTGTTTTGTCCACAGACGGACGCCGTCAGCTTTTCCCTGTAATGTGGGTACTGATGCTAATGCAATATCAAAGTCCCAGCACGCTCTCTACCTCCTACGGCAAGTTGGTCGCACACTTTTGTAGTTAAGGAAATGTACAAAAACAAGCGACGGTTCGCCACTTAAAAGGGTCATTTGTTTTAAGAAAGCAAAACGAGGAAACGCGACACGACATGTGACTGATCGACTAGGTGCCAGAAGTCCATAATGTAATAATTAAACGTGACAAAATGTATAGTTCGTTTCATGAGACAGTTTAATTTTGGTCTCTATTTCGTGCTTTAATATGTCGGTTTACAGATATGTCGTGGTTCTGTCAAAGTTTTTGTTTAAACAGCGCGAACGTATTGCGAACACAAACAGTCGTTTTTTGGCTGGAGCAGACCTTGCATCCTGTACTAAGACATCATGTTTTCCCTTGCACGTATTGTTGAGAAGAATGTTAGTCGAGAACATGAGGATGAGTGTAAATACTGCTTGTTGTGTGTGGTCGCTTGCCACACGTCTCCAACTCTTCAACCTCTGGCGGTGTAGTTAGCACCAGCCTCCAGGTCCTTGACAATCTTTCGTTGATCACGTAACCTCAAGAACTGAGCGGTGTGCTGGGAAATATAAGCTGGTTCTTAACAACTTCAGCCTGCATCACTACACTGGCGACCAGTAGTGTTGGAAGGTGCAGTCTTGGATTTAAAGCATCTATCGGAGGGTGAACCACTTCATCGTGAGTAAGTGTCTTCTCCAGAACCAACTATTTTCTGCAGTATGCACGCTTGAGTGCCTCCGCAGCCACAAATACGAAGTTTTCAGACACGTAGGTCAAAATAGGAGTCTTGGACGACATAGCCACTATGTCATTATTGGTGATATAGTATGCAAAACCTTGAACACAAAACAAAATATTATGTGCTTGCCTAAAAGCGACAAAATATTCCAATACACTTTGGAAGTAGTTTCTCGTTTTAAAAGTCCCTACACTATAAACCGCAGAAAACAGCAGGGGTGTTTATAGTCCTTTCAGGAACATTGACAATTCGGAAGTGCAAGAGCACTAGGGCCGACAAAGCAAAAAGATGCCAAGCCCACATACCTTTGAAGAGCTCGTAACCTGAAAGTTTTTCCCACGAATTGCTGCAATCCACTGGACGCACCGTTGCTTGTCCGTGAGGGAGGAGAACACGCGGACCTCTGATTCTCCGGCATAATTTCTCCGACACCACGGCACAAAATACTTATGACGCATTCATACGCACACACGAAAACACTCGGGAGTTTTTGTCGCCGACGGATGCAGTGAACACACATACGTCCTGTCTCAAAAAGACTTTCTACTTTGCCCGATTGCGCACATAATGTCTGGTTTAGCATCATTTGCGAGAAGTCTGCAGTCTGATAAAATTGCGTTGTCACATGGTGTGATCTTTTTTTTTTAAATTAGATTTAGTCAGTACAACCTATATTACAAAGTCAAACGCATCGGGGATGACGGCGAATGAAAGGAAAAAAGACAAAGAAGTGGTATTTCCTCTGGCCCTTCAAATTGCTTCGTCAGCGTCGTCGCAGACGCTCGGCGGTGAAAACCCTCGCTCGCATTTTCTCGCTTGGCTAGTAGTGACTAGTAACGTAGCTGATATAACGAATCGAAGAGCGCAAGCATCAGTTTTGAAGGTGTTGCAGGACGGAATCTTGAATGAATTAAACCTATGAACGTTATGCAACGAATAGGTTTTTCTAAACTAATGCGCGTGTAATATTTGAGTAGCTTCGTAATGCTTGAGCCGATTGGTTGCCTGTGTTGAACGCAACAAAAAAGCTGTGCATCTTTTTGTATATATCATCGAGTTAACTTTATATGCCCTTAAAAAAAAGTACAAAATTTATTCGAATTATTCGAGACTAAAAAAAGCAAACCCGAACAGAAAGCAGCGGTTCTTAAATGGGGGTCCGCGAAGCCATTCTAGGGGTCAGCGAAGCCCAGCCTCATCATTCAAGCCCGACCATAAAAGTTGTTTTTTCTTAGATTCAGATGAAACGTTCCAATTTTCGGGGAGTTTTCTCGTGTATATGTCAATAGGAGAACTCTACATCACACAAGCACTTAGTTATATTTATTTATTAAATCTTTATCATAATTAACCTATACTTTCCCTTCCCCTCACCACGAACGGGGCCCTCCATCTTCCCGGCCAATCCATATGGGGTCCGCGAACCATCAGTGGCCGAGAACCAGTGACAGAGCATAAGCAACCTGACGCGAATCAATACATCTCATTGAATATGGTTTCGACCTATCACAGGCAACCGCTCCATCTATTTTCCCTTGCCCTACCCAGTCGTATCTGCCTTCTCTCGATGCAATACAAATACCGTATTCAAGTAAACGCCAGCTGTGAACTTCAGAACGGCAAAATAGTTTGGTCCACCCAAGTTTTGTTTTTTTCTCCGGTAACTGACTTCATTTCGCGAGCTCTCGTCTCGGTTTCCTTTCGTTTGGATAGATTTCGCAGCCGATACCAGGATGTGTTGTATGTTTAGGTTGCGGCCTGCAAAATTCAGCGAAAAGGTTTTCTACACCTATCTTAGAGGGAAATCCTAATGTCACGTGGCTCTGCGAATAAGGTGACGTATCGTCACGTGACGTAGCGGGGCCACACGACGTTGTCACGCGATGTCATAATTCCCCCTCTAATTTTAGTGGAAAATTTTTCTCCCTAAATGTTGCGATCATTTCCTGTCGCGTATCGCAGTGACACAGAAGGCGACACTAAAGTACCCAAATGTAAACACAGTGGTGTAATTGTGCGCATCAGACAGTGTTTTCGTTGCCGCTGGAGCTTAGCACTTGATTCGTTAAACCACTAAAAAAAATGTTTAGCTTTTTTTTTTTTAATTCGTCTGTTTTACTGATAATTTTATGAATAATGCTCACCAGGCTAACGCTAATGGACGCCTTACAGGCTCCGACTCTGCACACGGCCTTGAACACGGAAGCATCGGCCGCCCTCCTGGGGTCGGACTCGACCTTCAGCCATCCGTTCAACGAGCTGCTGATCTGGGCTGTGCTGATGAAGCGGCAAAAGATGGCCACCTTCATGTGGCAGAACGGCGAGGAGGCCATCGTCAGGGCCCTGGTCGCCTCCAAGCTCTACTGGGCCATGGCGCACGAGGCCGCCCAGGACGACCTCGAAGCGGATGCCTCGGAGGAGCTAAGACATAACGCAAGGTGAGAATGCGGAACGTGGTTTTGAAGAGGCGCACCTAAAAAAAAAAGGGGGGGGGGGGGGGGCTGAACTCCCCTAAAAATATCTTAAACCACTGGATACTTTTTAATGGAGTATTTTTCGCTAAAGTTTGCAGCATACTTGAACTAATGTGACGTTATGGTATCACGTGATACCACGAAGGCACAGTGACGTTGGCCACAGCTCGTGACGTGAGGTCACATGACATGCCTTTTCTCTTAACTTTTCATAGAAAATTGGCGCGGGGTGCTTTACGTTTTGGCGTGACGCAACGTGACCTGACGTTAACCCGTCAAGTCGGAGTGCCACGGAATACCATAGCGTCACGTAATCCAGGTCATGGGACCTAAATGTTTTCGCTAAATTTAGGGGGGGGGGAGATTGTAATTACCAAATATGTCATCCAGTCTCTTTAGCTGCTACTAAATGCCTTCTCAACAAATTTAGACGGTCACTTCTTAAATACTATATTTCATATGTTATATGACTTTGAGGATAATTGGAGCTGATAATTTTTTTAATGTGGACACGTATGTAGAAAAATTAACTTCAAAACATTGTTAGTGAAATATTTAAAAGCGAGACTGATTGTGAGTTACCATCGATTCTGAAGCATGGTTCTAAGTGGAGACATCGACCACGAAATAGAGGCGTATTTTCGACTGGCTCAAATGATTAGTTTACAAAGTGATTGTGGGCATAGCACAAGAACTGAGGTCGGCAGGACGTGAGCACGAGCGCAAACAGTGCTATGCCATTAGCTCGTGCTATGCAATTAGCTATTAAAACGCTAGAAAGAGTGTTACAATTCTGCAAAGAAACGGCTAACAACTGAGTCAGTAAGGCAAACTGAGCAAGGGGTTCCAAAAAAGTAGAAAGATAAAGCGAAAGGTATCCTCCATGAGGCACGCACTGAGCATCAGCATCTCTCCAGTGGAAGCTGATGTGACACGGATGCAAGCCACTTATAGCCGCTGCTCAAAAAATAAAGCATTATTGTTGTATCGTCCGTCTCTTTAGCCCGCAATTGTCCTTTATTCTTGGGCATCTCTTATGAAGCTTGCATTTTTGCCAACCATCTAATTTCTTTCACTAAGCAACATCATCCGTTTTCCTTTCTAAGTAACTTTATCGATACTCTCAAAAATGCCGATTATTGCAGCGTCATTCGTTCATTTGGCGACTTTCCTTATCTTATGACACTAATGTATGAAACTATTATACAGTGTGTATAAAAGCATTGAACCTCTCGGCTACGCACAATGTTTTTCTTCTCTCTAAATAACTTGATCATCCTTTGCTTCTGAGCGTAGAGAGTTCGAAAAGCTGGCGTTGGACCTGCTGGACTACTGCTACCGGCAAGACGAAGGCACCACGCTGCAGCTGCTGACGCACGAGCTCCAGAACTGGAGCAAGCAGACCTGCCTGGGGCTGGCCGTGGCCGCCAACCACAGCGGCTTCCTGGCGCACACGGCAAACCAGATGCTTCTCGCAGAGCTCTGGATGGGAGCCCTCCGGACTCGAAAGAACGTCAGCCTCAAGGTAAAAGAAACAAAGTTTCGCATTTTTACGCTTCATATCTTCAGAAGACGCGTCTTGAACAAAACGCAGACGGAGCGTCGGTGTATGGCGAGAGCAAGTTCGTCTGCTTCTTGCACATTGGCTGATTGATAAAAAAATAGTGGGTAGACCTCAAGGAATCTAGTATTGAGGTCTACCCACTATCCTTCGAATCAGAGCCAATCAGAACGCAGCGTCGCTCTGACGTCACCGTAAGCCCCTGTGCAAGCAGACGACTTGTTCTCCGAATGGGCCTGTTCTCTCGGCCAGGGGGCGCTGTAGCGTCCACGAGACACGACCACAAAAAAAGTGCCTCAACCGGAAGACGCGGCCATGTTCTGCTGTCTTGAAGCAGCGTCCTAGCGTCCCCGTTGTGCATGATCCACGTGCGTATAGAAGCGTCTCGTCAGCGTCTCTCAGCGTCCCGTCACGGGCGCTAACGGGGCGTCTGAAAGGACGCAATGCGACGCTGAACGTAAAAGCGACCTAAAGATATCCGATTTTTCTCGCCAGAGGCGCTGCTGAAAACTTGAGAGCTACGGGTCTATAAAGCACGTGAGAGTTTGAGTAACCGGTACTGGGGAAGTGTGAAAACATATTCTGGTGGAAACAGTGGCATATCCAACTGCTGAAAGTAGGTCGACGCGCTGCTTCACAAGAAAACCCGCGTTGGCCCACGGAAGGTTTTGGGCATCGCGCTTGCGCAGAAGCAAAAATAGAGTGAGGTGTAGCGTCCGCGCATTCTGCGTACCGACAACAGCGCCACCGCAGCGGAGTGACGTTAGAGCCACCTGTTGACCTAGGGTACCATCAGCTAAACAATGGTGCATGGAATACGTCACCGACTGCTGCGTTTAGCGTCCTATCCTGCCGATACATCAAAGGTGGTTCCTAAGTGGCAACAGATGACGTCACAGAAGCCGGAGTGTCATGCTGTTGGATGTCGCGATCCTGGCGTTTGGCGCTAGAAGTACCGGGGAAAAAAGTACAAGCGGACGGGAGTGTCGCTGTCGTCGCGGCGTCCCAACTCCTGGCTGCCGAAGCTTCCAGAAGAGGCGTCTGCCGCATACACTACAGCTGTTGGGACGCCGCCAGGGTTGCGACCGGCAACAGCATGAATCTTCCGTGACGTCATCGAACGAAAATCGGGGACAACTTTGTTGGGCGCGGTAAATACACCAGTTAGAAATGTGTTGCAGGCACCAAACCTAAACGCCTCTCATACGCGCGACATCTAAGGATCGAACAGACGACAAATCGCAAAGTAAAAATTAAACAAGTTTGAACAGTCTTGTTTGTTTCTATGACATGCGTAATTAACTAAGCTGTGTACCAACATGAACACTCGTTTAAAATTATGAGCTTGAGGCCATAGGTAACCGTGGATAATAACCGTAGAAGTTAATTTCAAGATTAAGAATTTGTACAACATTTTGTTTACAATTTACCTGATTGCGAACAAGAAAGAAACGAAACAATTTAACAACAAGCCACTTTGTTAACTTGTGATTATATAGGCGTATATTCCTTTACACTTACAGTATTTGTTTGCTCAGTTATCAATACTGTCACCCTTCTCTTGAAGGCTATTGCAGTAAAGGTTGATAGAGCGTTACAGAATTGCACCAATTGTATTTTTGCCATTCACTGTTAGGAAACCAACGCAGGTTAACAAAATCATCCAACGGTACTATTGCTGACGGTCATCACCTTATGTTGTTTCCTATCAGGTCATATTCGGCCTCCTTTTCCCACCGACGGTGCTCTGGCTGGAGTTTAAGTCCAAGGAAGAGCTCCAGCTGATGCCCCAAACAGAAGAGGAACACTACCTGGACCTCCAGGACGACGAGGAGGACTCCAACCCTGACGTGGACGATCCTCCGGGCGTCCTCAACCCTCCAGTCATCAACCTCGACACGGACTCGCTCGGTGGACCCCTGGCTCGGAAATGTTCGTCCGTCTTCAACCGCCTCGAGAACGGAAGTCTATTTCCCATGGACACCGACGCCGCTTATCTCAAGATAAGGACAAGAAAGCGACCCCTTCGTCTAGGGCGAAAGATCTACGAATTCTACGCTGCTCCGGTGACCAAGTTCTGGAGTCATGCCGTGAGTATGCTGATAAACAGGTGATTACGACGCAGTGCGGGTTTCGATCAAATCACGGGCCCTGATCTCGACACTTGCCGAAAAAGCCGGCGAGAAATCAGGCGGCTCTGATTGGCCGGCGCCAAGGTCCATGCTGCGTTGGCCAATCACGGCGGCCAGATCTCTCGCCGACTTTTTCGCCAAGTGTCTAGATAAGGGCCTCAGTACTGGGAGTTCGCCTTCACTTTCCGCTTTTAGTTCGTGTGCATGCCTCCGTGTTTCTTCTGGATACTCAAATCACTATTAACACGTAGGGTTGAACGAAATATAGCCAGCCGGCAACGGCCAGACGGCGCCAACAAAGTGAGAGCCTACGGTTTTACCCTGTCTCGCTGTAACCTGGTAAAGGGTGAACGATAAGCTGCACATTGCGTGCCGACGGCTTCGATACGCGCTACTCGTACGAGCGCAGCGCGCACATATTGGAGCATGACGCAGCGAAAAGTCTGATATTTCTTCGCAGTAAAAGCCCACTCCGATGATACGTAGTCATGTTCCGATTGGCTCGCCAGGGCCGTAACTTCCGTCGTAATGGCATGTTACGCAATGATGGCTTCCTGGGATACCCAGTATTTCTTGCTTCAGATACTATACTTCGTTTCAGCTTCGGTCCGAGCGCGGCCGATGTTATGAGCCGAAGGGCCAATCAAAAAGCGAAAGAGGCACAACGTCATGGCGTGCTTTCTGCAGTTGATAGAACCAGCCGGTATTCGCCGTCTCTCTGTGCGTGCTCCTTCGCCGGCTAGTCTTATCACGCGCAGAGAGCACGCCATGACGCTGCGCTTCTTGCGGTGTTTGATTGGCCCTTCGGCCCATAAAATCGGCCGCGCTCGGACCGAAGCTGAAACGAAGTATAGGCCTAAGCGGCGCCACCTGAGTCATAGTTCACGTTTCAACAACGCAGCCCACACTCCCAGGCAAACTCAACGTTTCTTGCTTCAGTCGCTTGATGGCGCTAAACAAAACAGCGTTGCAGGCTGCCTATAGGTCTAGAAATCTTAGTACCTACGCAGCGCAAGGGACGGTACAAACTTTTGTTAGTGCAGCTTGCTTCGTTTTAATTAGCTTAGAAGAGAGCAATTTTGTCTGAAAAACCAATGCCAAAATCGCCAAGAGTACTGATTCTGGTACCTGGTATTAGTCATTCAGCATTCGTTCTACGCAGCTTATTTTGTGGAATGGCATAACAATATATGAGGTTTATGTTCTCGATAAAAATGTTTGCTGTTGTTTTTGTTTTTGCGGATATTTTTCGGTTATTCGTTTGATTTTTTACGTTATGTTGCGGCCAGGGAGTGGGTAAATCACACGTATCACAGACACTGTCAGTATTACGTAGGATACATTTGCCTTCCATCCGGCTACCCGAGATTCTGTGTCCAAAAAATAAAAAAAAACCGAGCCAGACCAAAGATTATTTTAGCGACTTTTGCGTCGCTTCACAAAATATTGTCGACATATTGGCCATAACCTCAGTCACTGTAAGGTCATTCTATGCCAAAGAAGGCGCGGCAGTTTTTTATGTCTGTGATATGTAGTAATACATAATTTGGATAAGGAATCATCTAAACTCCAAGAAAAGTATTATTATGAGAAAAAAAAAATATTGTTTTTGCTGATATCAGGCCCTCAAATTAAGGAATTTACATAAAACCCACTTAGTTTAGAGAAACATGGAGAAAAAACGGTTACGTACGAGACAAATTCAGGTGGGCGCCTAATTACTTAATAAAATACCAAATCCTATACTATAATACAAACATAGAAAGGCGTCATTTTGGGTGCAAATAGGAGCTCCAAAAGGCAAAGACGTTATGAGATTTCTTTACTGTTTTATTCAACTTTGATTTAGGTGTTAGCTGCAATACGTTTTTGTTTGTTCTCATAGCACTAATAATTTAATAGCCCGTGTTAAATTTTAAGGCCTCGTTTTATTGCGTTTTAATTGAATGGAAGAATCTCCGGTTAATGCAAAAAAAGGAAAGAAAACATATTAAGGATCAGAAAAAAAAATATCTGGGCAGCGGTGCTCGGAACTTTCGAACTAACATAAAAACTTAAATCCACCTCATCCGTTTAAGATATAGAAAATTATAAAAGTACTTTATTATTATTATTTTTTTTTTTTAATATGAGCCCCTTTGCATGCCGGCGTTCGGTAGTGGGGCGTCAACGGTATAAAACGCCGCCGCAAGGCCTTCAACGCTCTCCAGAAAACGCGTTTTATTCAGTTGAAGCGAACCTTATCCTGACTTCCATGCATCCCTATCCCCTTTACGTTACGTAAGGATACCGGCGTCTTAGTTTTGCTCTACTTCTGTCCAGGTAATTGCCGACGAGCGCAGGACTGCATCGTCCACCTCTCGCGAGCTTGGTAATGAACACTGCTCCTCGGCCCTGTTTGTCTCATGTAAAAAAAAAAAAAAAAATCAGACCGGAAAGTTTTTTAATTAAATTTGTGCAATGTTAAATTCAAGATTAGAAACACGAAAACTGACCGATGAATAGCTAAGAAACAATTACCATTTCTGAAAAACACTAAATTGGTCAAGCCTCTGATAGTAGTTAGCGTCAATAATCCAATGGCAACATGAGCCATGTAACTATTAGTTAAATTATTAATCAACAATATGTTTAAGAAACCAACTTACCATGCGGATCATTACATCATCTAGAGTCCGCCGAGCCCGACACTCAGATCGCGAAGACGGCACCTATGTAACTCCCACTTCATAACAAACACACTTCCTCTAAAAATACTAGTGAGTTCAGAATTCGGTACACGTTCTGCTGGCCTCCAGCGTATTCCGGAGTTTAAAATTATGCACAAGGTCGGAACCTCAGGCTTATGACGTGTCCACCGCAAAGGGTGGAATGCTTTTTCCACACTGCTTTTGGTAGCACTGCTTATTCTATCAAAATACAATTAAGTGCAATTTAAGAAGCGACACCACCGTTATCCTTTCTCATCGGTGAAGAGCTGTCCAGTCTGAATAGTTTGTTTTTTTATATATATATCTGGACATACGACAGACAAGGACGACGCGCAATATGCATGTCCAAACTCGGAAAGCAGACGACGCAGGCCTGCTTTCGCCGGCAGTTACCTAAGCAGAAATAGAGTAAAGTCAAGACAACAACCCAGTATCATTACGTAGCGTAAAGAGGATAAGGGTGCGTGGAAGTCTGGATAAGGTCTACTTTAACTGAATAAAACGTGTCTACAGAAGAGCGTTGAAAACCTTGCGGCGGAGTCTTAAACCGTTGACGCCTCGCTGGCGAACGGCGGCGTGCGTCGCCTATAATATGAGCGCGGCTCGAGGCATGGTCGTAGAGGCTCATCTTTAAAAATATATTTTCTGAGTAACAACAAAACGTAATTTTTTAAATTTTTTATAGGTCATCCCCAGAAATCTGTGCCATCGCATGCTAGCGCCATCTCTTGGCGGATTATGGCAACGCTCCCATAGAAGCAATGTATTAAATATAGAAATACGGCAATATTTGCTCAACATCACATTTTTTCAGATTTGCCATGCTACCCGTCCAATCTCTGACACGATCCAATCCTTCCGCAAAAAAGTCAAGATTACAGCGCATAAACTGCAGGTTCCTCATTCGAGAAAATTATTTGATGCATAGCCACTATGGGTGGTATCAGGTTTGATCGGTTTTTAAAATATATCATTAGGTGAGTGAAATAAATTTTAATTTTATATTATAAATACAACCCTCGCCCAATCATATGACAAAGTTTGGTGATTTGTATGATATTTTGTAATGCGTAGAAAAAACATCCTTTTGGGGCACCTCTCCCAAACGTGCCACACAAAGTGATTTTCAAACCTCCCTAATTTAAAAATACAGAAAGATACGAGATTTGCCATATAACTGCGACAAGGCAAAAACATCTAGGAAGCGTAGTGCACGCTCTGTCTTCTCTCAAACTTATTTGCTCGGGTTCCTGAGACCAGTTTGTCGAACCAGGCGCATAATCGATCAGCCAGCTGTTCAGAATCGTTTCCTGCATTCTGCTGCTGGGATCACTAAACTACCAAACAAAGAAAGCAACTATTTGTTTTTTTCATTTAGAAATTTTATCATGGCTAAGAAAAGGTATAGAAATATTGTTATTAATCATTATGAAATTATTGACCTTGGCGAAGCTACATTTAGGGCGAATAAAGTGGGAATATTGAGTGATTATTCGGCAAGGAAGCTGACTGTACTTGATGGTCTCTTCATGACACGTCAAGCACATAAATTCAAAATATCAAGTAAAAAACATGTCGGTCGATCCAGCAAGGAGAACATTGGAAAATGAGAACTACGTAACGTCCTCGCTCGAGCGCCTTTCCCATCGAGGAGGTTTATTTTCAAGGATATGCAGTTGTACCATAATTGATTTGATGGACTTAAATTTTATCATTTTTCCCAGTTAAAGACCCGAATGTTCTAAACAAGTTCCTTGTGGATGAGCGGAGGCCCAAATTTGAAAAGTTGGACGAAGCCGTCAAAACGGAAAAACCAGGTCTAGTTTGAAGCGGTTTTTCTCAAGACAGATTTATTTCCAAGTATTTGCCATGGCACCAGCATGTAGTAGAGGGATGAAAATGATATATTTCGTCCAAAATGGGTGCATGAGCCGTGCTCCAAAAGTTCCCTGTGAAGGCGCGGGTGCTCAAACTAAAAATGGGACGAAACCGTCGAAACAAAAAAACCAGGTCCACTTCGGAGCGGTTTTTCTCAAGACAGATTTATTTCCAAGTATTTGCCATGGCACTAGCATGTAGTAGAGGGATAAAAATTATACATTTCGCCCAGAATGGGTGCATGAGCCGTGCCCCAAAAGTTCCCTGTGAAGGCGCGGGTGCTCAAACTTTAAAAATGGGACGAAACCGTCGAAACGGAAAAACCAGGTCCACTTCGGAGCGGTTTTTCTCAAGACAGATTTATTTCCA